ATATATTATAACTTATAAGTGTAACATGTTCTATAGAAAATACAGATTTAAATATTGTACGAAACGATTTTGCAAACAATTGTATATCATATTTAAAATTAATTTTATTTTTATGAATTAAATGTTTATATTATCATAATTTTGTAGTTCCTAATAAAATTAATTTCGATACATGTAAAATAAGGTATTCTTCAGTTATCATTTTTGATAAGCAAAAATAAAACTTAGTTACTTCCCCCAAGTGGTACATGCAAATCGTAAACTGTGTAGGTGGTACGTGAATATTAAAAGATTGAGAACCACTGTTGTAGAATAAATCTATAGGAAATTATAAATATTCAATTTATTCACAATGATCATAACTATTATTATTCATTATCCATTTTCGACCAAAAAGTTTAATATTTACTTTATGTGATATATATATAGAAAATTATTAAAAATATAAGTCTTACTTATAAACATTTTTATTATTATCATAGTACATATACCTACAGGGTAGGTATCATAATTAGATCATCATAATTGGAGAGGGAGTTATTAAGCCTATGCCTGCATCGTTGGTGAGGTTTTGCAGGTCATCCAATGTGAATTCAAATACATGTGAATGAATATGAAAAATTTAAACCTGAATCTGCACATATTTGACGGTGGATCCAGCACTTTCAACTATCGACATATTCTAAATAAAAAAAAAAACAGTAGACTTATTAAATCAATACTTAACATGCATATTTCCCTAACTTTGAATTCCAAATCAGGTATACCTATAGTCGTATCACAAGTATTCAAAAGGTTCGTATTATTGAATAATGTAATTTCTTATTTAGGTTATATGAAATAAAAATAGACAATATTTAATCGATTATAATATTATCTACATCACATAATTGAATTGTGTATTACCGATTACCGATACCAATATGATAAATCGTATAAAACAATCATATATAATATCAATAATATATTGGCAATTAATATACTTAAATTTGTATGTTCATTTATACTTAGGAGAATTCCTGTAGTATAGGTGTGGTTATCTAGAGTATATCCGCGGTCTAATCAACAAATTATTCGAGGTGTCCGTTGTCTTATGATCTTATCGATAAATTATAATATTGAATAGCCCGAGTGCGTCTGCGGCCCACAGCTATTATGATATGTACCTATTTTGGATAAACTAATCAACTAAATACTTTTAAAACACCGGTTTAAAGATCGAATAGATAGTTCAAAATATGTACAACTATAATACGTAATTTTTACAGCTATGAATGTGGCAACAGCGGGAAAAATTTAGTTTACAGCATAAAGTTTGATCATTGATAACATGTTATAAAATAATGGTATCACAAAATGAAAACTAGATATGACGTATTGATTCCGGTAGAGCGTCCTCCACAATACTTTATAACTTGTGTCGTTTATTACAAAAGTGTCTCTTACAGAAAATAGCCTTTTAACCTACAATATAATATAATAGGTATACATTTTTGGAAGCACCATGGGTAACTAGAAATTACTGGGACAAACTTGGGTTATGTAAAAAATATGATCTTTTTTTTCTTTTTATCAGTGGCGTGGAAAAGAGGGTAATCGGCTGCCTCAGAATGTTTTAAGGGGTGGTGGTGAGTAATTGAAACTAAGTAGTTTAAAAGTGTAATCTATCAGTTTTCAATTTTCGGATATTATAAAATGTTGTCTAAAACTAAGAAAAAATGCAGTGTGTTACACATCCATCCTATAAAGTCGTAGAGTATGGATAATAAAATAGTAGGTACCTATATAATATATTTTATGCCATTTATAAATTGTATATTTGTAGTACCTACTGCATATTTTCTTAATTATTTGATTTAAATTTTCACATACTGCGTATTTACTTAATTTCATAGCTAAAATGACATCCAGTATATATCTACATGAAAATGTTTTCCATGTCTTTCAGTCTTTGTATCTTTCAGAATTGACTTAACATTAAATTAATTTTTCTACACTAATGTAAAATTCAGTAAGTACCATCTACTGAAAAATCAATAACTATGTATTATTTTATGCCAATTTTTCATAAAATTAAAAAAAAAAATGATGAAATATGAAACTTAAAAGTCAAAAATTAAGAAATCAAAAAGCTAATTTACAATAGTACAGCTGTACAATTTTTCAAGAAAATTCCAATTCATGTATTATCATTGTAGTTTTGTACCGATTAGGTATGGCTCATAAATACGACATAAGTCATAATACATAATACAATTCGTAGATATGTGGTACTTAGTCAGTAGTGTAATATACTATATTACTATTTAGTATTTACCTATATATTAGGTAATCATAATTTTTGGTGATAATATATTAATATACCTAATATGTTCACAATGAAAATACAATTTTATTGTCACTTATAGCTGCCATTATATAGGTACACATACAGATAATATACTTTCATACATTTACCTATATACATATATTTTTTGTGTGTTTATTTATTATGAATATTGTAGATACCTTTGAAATATTCCTATAATATTTTGAACAAAATTATAATTTGTAATGAATAATATACTAATTCAATTTAGGTAAAAGGCCTTAAAATATTTGGCATTGGCTACTAAGTACTAATTGCCCTCACCATATCGCCTTCTTTATTTTTAAATTAGGTGCAAAATATATTATTTGCAATAACGAGGAGAGGTTATATGATATTACAACTAAAATAAAGTCAACGTTTTTCTATGAGCTAATTATTTTAGTCCTTTTTATTTTCTAATGTATATATTAATTTATCAGTATTGTCCATTATCAATTATCATTATCCCAAAGTAAAATGTGGTGAACAAAATTGAAAAATTGTTTAAATGGGTAAAATAAACGATATTGTAATAAAATTAAATATTGAACTTGAAAAATGTGTACTTACAGATTAATACCAACTACTTTGTTATATTTGTAATTGTTTTTAATATATCAAATTTTACATCTACATACTGCTTTTATAAATGCCCACTGAATGTATAGTGATAATACTTACTTGATAAGCCGTCGTGTATTCTGCGGAATAAGCTAATTTCGCAAAGATCGGGTCAAGGTCACTCGCGTTTCACGACCACCACTGTCCCGCGCCTTACTTGATCCACCGGTCATTGCCGTATGTCGATCAGCGGTATGTATATAATATTATTATCACCACTCACCTTAATATTAATATGATAAACACCGTTTTGTTGTTTTATTATTATTTAAATAATTATTAGCGTATTTTTACCATCGAGATTTCTCGCAACAATTAATATTTATTATCGGTGGTTTGTTACACAGTCCCGACACACTTTTCACTTTTCATCGTATTGTAATATTTTCCTAAAGTTATTACACTTTGTCAGTACTCATATACACAGTCCACTATCATCGCACAGCTGTATACATCGCCGGGTCAATAACCGTAAGCCATCGACAGCCAACAGCCCGTGAGCTGGCAATACCTGACGACACCCTTATATACGTCCTATATATACCTACACTGTTTTAAGTTATACACTTATACCTATACAATAAGTAGTGCAAACCCAGCAATGAGTGTTTTTTAGAATACACTGTTAAATGAAATGGTGTTACAACCTAAAGGTTTATTTGTAAATAGTAAAACAAGAATGTATTCCTATTGCATAGACGTAGGTATAGTACACCATAATATTTATAACTTGAGAGTAAACATTTTTCTGGAGTGAGTGTGCTAAAGGTATAGTATAAAAGTTGTCATTTCATATTCCGGTCAGCGAACCATATTTTAAAATTAATATAGGAGGGGTCTATCGATTCTTTTATTACCTATATATATGTTTTCACACGCCTACTTAAGCGGCCGATCACCTATAATGGACGATGCGTTAATTCGTCTCTAATCTATTTGTAAGCTTCTCTAGGACGTATTCAAATGCGATTTCTGTTACGGACGGTGAACGGCGGCGGCTCTTGCGTGACGATGCCACTTCTCTGTATACTATGCCACGCCCCGGAATTTGATGACCTGCAAGTAAAATATTCTTTTTTCTCAGCGTTCGTTAATGTGAACAATATTGTTATAATATTATAATATTATTATGACATTTATAATTTATATATAGGTACATAATACGTAAAATATACGTAAAATAGAATATATAATAGTATGCGTATATATGCTGTACGCGTCTTTGTAAAATATTCAAATATTATATTATTTTATTTTATTAACATATTAGTTATTACCCTATGTAATACCATTATATATGACTGTTCGGGTTTCAATGATCTGCTTCAAATTTCGTTTTTCTTCTGAACGTTTCCGCTCAGTTAAGGTATGTACGTACTCTGCATAGTAATACGATGCTGCAATCAGGGACGGCGCAAGGGGGGGGGGGGCAGTTGCAACAGGCCCCGCGATTTTAAAATTATAGTTAAGGCCCCGCAGTTCTGAAACGATTTCTACTGTTCAGAGCTTTTACAGAATTTCCAAAATTTTATTTATTGAAATTATAATTCGTAATAAATTATTGAAGGGATGCGGGATGGATACTTTTAGACGTCAGTCGCGACGGCCTTATCGGTGGTGGTGGAGGCCGGGAAGTCTGTCCAATGGTACGGGCTTCATTGTATTCTTACTTATAAGTTACAACTTATAAATTATAAGGTATTACCTCTAATACTTTTATTTACGTTTCAGATTTTTACGATAATCAATATTTTACTGCATATTACACCACTAGTGACACTAGTGTGTTGCGTGTGTCTGTGTGTGTTTTTTGTCTTTCGAGCATATGAGTCGGTAGCTGGTGAGTGTTTGTCTTCTTAAGTTATTATGTACATGGGCGCCAATTAGGTAACATTTTAGGGGGGGTCAAAATAAAAAAATTTCGAATGTAAGATAATAGAGATTTAATTGTTATTTTTACATATAAATGTATACATGCATGTTATATTAGATTATAAAAAATATAAATTAAATAATATAATTAAGTATATTATTCGGTATCAGTAAATAAGAACTGCAAATTTCTTCGTTTTATTCCAAACATATTAATGACATCCTGAATGAAATTATCCTTGTTTGCGTTAACTCTTTCACGATGAAGGCTCATCATACACAACCCATTTAAACGATCTTCTCCTGTAGTCGAGCGAAGCCACGTTTTTACTCGTCTTAATGTACTGAACGATCTTTCTATTGTGCACGTTGCCGGAGGCAGTGATATAAAAATATTAAGTATTTGAAAAATAGCAGGATAATATTCGCAATGAGCCAATAAATCAACAAACGAAATTTCATCACACTGGGAGTCAGTCAAATTTTTATCAATCCAATACTGATACCAAATATTAGATTCCTCTATCATATTTTCAATTTCATAATGATCACTAATCAGCTTAATTTTTTCTTTGAAATCATTAATGGTGTACTTTTTAATATTTGTAGGATGCAGTAGACTTATTGAGAATGCTATTTTCTTGAAAATCGTCGATCGAATATCCACAGAAAAAATTGAAAATTTAAAAAAATAATAATTATTAATGACACTCAGCAGTCAGCACTAAATATAATGTCACACAGAAAGTGGACGACTAAAATGCAGTTAATGTTGTCTGACAAAATATTTGTAGTACTTATATTGTGATCTTTATGGATTTACCACAAATTATCTGCAATAAATAATTTTACGTATAAGTACCTATACGAACTACAGACTACGACCTATCTGGCTATCTATGATGTTAATATACGATAACAATGAGTATATTTTTATACTTATTTCATATCTTAAAAGTGATTTCAACAAATAATTTTCCTCGGTAATAAGGTAATATTGTGGTAATATTTATTGAGGTACAAGTTCATACAATTTTTTTCCAGGGGGGGGCAAGTGCCCTGTCTTTCCCCCCCCCCCAATGGGCGCCCATGTTAATGTATAGAGCTAGGATTTTATTAATGACCAAAATAATACACAAAAATGAACTTAAAAATATGACCGAAAAATGTACTTATAGATGAGCGTAAAAATGTATTTTTAAAATAAATATTATTATTTTACCTATATAACACTATTTAAAAAAGCTGAAAATAAACAAAAATTAGTTTAAATACATCAAAATGAACGTACAATTTGTAATATTACGCAAAAATGACCTTAAAAATGCAAAAAAATGCAAAATAAAAATTACATATTCTAAATTGTTATATTACGAAACAAATTAAATTTTTTGTTAGAACTGTATAGCACTTAGAGAAAAAAAAATGCAAAAGTCACCAAAATCCTAGTTCTATTAATGTGTAATTGAAAGATTATTCACGATTATTATTATTTATTAACAAATAATATTTAGTATAAATATTTATATAGGTATTGCAGTTAGAATTTTAATGACAATACCAGTAACTTCAGCATGTCCCCAGAGAAGCTTTCGAAATTGAAATTAATTAAAACATATTTGAGAAACAAATTAAGTCAAGAAAACCTTCCTAATTTCAATCGAAAAAAATATTTCTGAGTCTTTAGATTATGATGATGTCATAAATCAGTTTGCTGCTAAAAAATCAAGAAAAGTAATGTTTTAAAAATATGTATTAATTGTATGACTAAATATGCAATCAATATTTTTTATTGTTTGTTTATATTGTTCTTTCTGTTATATTAATTACATTTGAACATTTTTTTAACTAATATTATATTTTAATAAATATTATAAAATATAATAATAATATATCATGTATACTATTATGGTTGATAATATTGATTAAATTGGTTTAGTAAGTACCTAGTTAGTTTGGATAATATTATGTAATATAATTTTCGGACGGTTGAAAGAGAAAAAAATTTTTATTTACCTCAATTATTCAGAAGTCCACACAATACACATAGACTGTTATTTATTTTGCCCAGAGCCCCGCAAATCCTAGCGCCGTCCCTGGCTGCAATGTGTCATATACTATACCATTGCCCCAAAAATTGTATTATGGATGATCCAAATAGCTGACGTCTATGTAAAAATAATTTAACAAACACTATTTAGTCGAGGCTTATAGGTCAATGTTTAATCAGCGAATTTTTTCAGAACGACGATGGACTACGAAAATTATATATATATATATAATATATTAGGCGTTATATTATAATGTAGATGAATTAAAACGGTAATTTTTACCAACTAGATAGGTGCCTAGATTTAGCGTTAAGAATCACTGGTGATACTGTAGTAGGTATTGTCGAGGCCGGGTAATGCAACAATATTATACAGCCGACCGATATGACACACACACATACCCACACACACATGGCACACCCCTGCCAGTTGATTATTATTTATATTGTTTAATTTTTGTCATAATCGTGTCTTAATTGAATTATATAATATGTAGATTACGTATTGACACGATATCAGCCACCACCGGATCGTCGGTGCTCGGATTATAACACGGCCGCCCAAATAATTATTCAGTATAGGTACTGTTAGTACTGTTCTATCCGCATAACCAAAGGCACGCAATCGTCAAGCTTCAAAATTATTATTGTCATATAAATGCACGAATTGCCACTTTTATTGTGAAAGGCACGAATTGCAACCATCTTAGATATTATTATTGTCACTTTTTATTATTGTATCGTGGGCGCGAATCGCCACCTTATTGTATTTATTGGCAGGCACGAATCGCCACTGTCTTATATATATTTTATTGTTCGAATTATTTCTATTTTAAACGTTGTGAACTATATTATTGATTCAGGATAGGTAGCATCTGGCCAGCCGTGCACCGTCAAATTTTTGAGTTATTATTATCATTAGTATTATTACATATTTTTTGGGCCAGGAGGGCCGCACGTAAAATTATTATTATACTTATTATGCGGGTTTCAGCACGGATAGCTACATTTATACATATTATATACATTTATTATGTTGGGCCAAAAGGGCCTCAAATTGTATAATCTGTGGATTTCTTTAATAGTGTCATAAATTTATTCTGTTTATCACATTATTATTGCATCGATACCATCGTGTCTCTGTGAAATTATACATTGTATATTAAAACAGCAACTTAAATCAAAACCCTTGTTACCATTTATTGCTAGAGTTACCTTTTTGTCATTAGTCTTTAAGTACACACAGCACACAACACATATATACACACATTTACACACCCGGCACACACTAGCATTCGATAGTTTTGCTCGGCGAACCCGTCCACTTCGATCGAATTGCTAATATATGTATACACACATATACAGGTCGGTCGGTGTGTGAATGCAATACGAAGTACGTTGGATACCGGGTGCACGGTCTATTATTCCCGGCCCAAACAGGTATAGGGATTAAAAAATAAAATATCAAGACTTTATAATTACACTGAACTTTAATTTTTTAATTTTTTTCAAAAATTAAATATGGATTAGAACATATTATCAAGTCTAATATCACGAGAATTCTATTTATTATTGTTATTGTTATATTGTATGCATATACAAAGTGTCCCTTGAGGATAAACCTATTAGCCTTAGAGGCTATTAGCCTATTAGCCTTAAACAAAAAGTTCTTGTTCAACAGTTATTTTTAAAATTAGTCTTATAGAAGTTGGATAAGTGGTTACCGCTCTGATGAACATTATAAAATGTGGGTATCATTGTAATTTATGTGTTAAATTTTAATTCAAAGATATAAAATCATAGTAGGTAGACGAAAAACAATTATTTCCATTGGTTGTATCTATTGAAATATCTATTTTGCGGATAATTTAAATAAAATGTGTATTATAAAATAAATAATATCATACGTATTAGGTACCAGCTATATTTTGTTCTGACTTTTCTGTCCCCTGGATTGGGTCAGTCTCGCTAAGCCTTTTCTACAGTTCTGCACGTCAATAATTATACATAATATCATATAATAATTACATATAATCACAAATTATCATAATTATACGCAATAATTATACATACTACATGGGTTACTATATAGGTATGATTTTAATATACCTACAGTATTATCAACAATATTATTTTAAGTGGTTTATTGTTACAAATTTAGTATTTTACAGTATTTACATTTGTCACACGTAATCGAAATAATTGATACTTAATTATTTCGTTGCAATATCGATCATATAACAAATTATTATTCTTCCGGCATTCTTTATCTTTTAAAACGCAGTCTTTGTTGGGCACGTGACACATTCTCAGTAGGTAGTCACTATATAGATACTCACGGCGATAGTATTGTACAACAGTCGGTAACACACGGTTCTTCGTCGGTACCTACGTACTTAAACCGTCGTATTCGCCGATTGTTTTTGATCACGTCGAATAACTTTTATTATTCGTGAGTATAAAATAAATTTAATAATATAATATATAATATTATACATTATGTCTATAATTTAATATATTATAAATAATATTATCTACATAGTAATCATTACGTAGGTACCTACGTATCATTACGATTGACGTATAACATATTTTGTAACAAGCTTAATGTATGTTTTCACTATTGTTCTAATATGATATGATATATGGCGTACCGAACTTTAAATCATATGGAAGCGAACAAATTATTTATGACCTACTCCAACTTATGTAACTATACGATACTCATATTCTCAAATAAATGGGTGGGATAGCACCCAAAATAAAGTTCAAAGACTGACCGTGTATGTGGGCTTTATGAGGTTATGACCCACCACCACCCCCCAGAAACCAGAAGCAATTTGTTTCTGAAAAACATGATTCGCTACGCCACTGATATATGCCATTATATATTATATCATATTATATTATATTGTTATTAACTTTTGAATCAATACTTTCTTATCATAGATCGGTGATTAAATAGGTTTGTGGTATAATCAATAGCAACAGCATACAATATTAATTTAAATGTTTTTACAATATCGTTATGCATACCTACAAAAGATATTATAATAATGTATACGTAATACATCAATAGTTTCAAATCCATAAGACTAATATAGTAATATTATTTAATTAGCTGGTAGGAGCTTTCAACAAAACAACTAAACATATTATTCATCGTTTACATATCTAATTTCGTTTAAATTCCAACTTAAAATGTCTATGAAAAATCTGTGTTTATATATTTTTAGATTTTATTGTTACAGTATGAACAACAGACTGATGATTTAAGATTTTAATTTGTCTCAAAATTTCACTCAAATTGTCTATATACAACCTTTTAAGAGTCGTGTCTTATGAGAAAAAATTAAGGTTGTTACAATGGTCACAAACTACCTATAGATAAGTTAGAAATGTTGACATTTTTTTAACTAGTTAATAATTATAATTTCTTTTTGTGTCTTTTTATAGATATTATAATATATTAATTATTA